AAAAGAATGACAGCCTGACGAGTGCAGCAACGTGGATGACCCTGGGGTATTACGCTCCGCGAAGTCAGACGGAAAGGCAAAGCTGGGGGAATTCGCTTACGTGTGGAACCTGAAAAGCCTTGCCAATGGAACACAGACTCACAGACACAGGAGAGACGCCCGTGGTCACCAAAAGGGAGAGGGAAGGCGGCAGGGGCATGGTTACCAAAAGGGAGCGGGAAGGGGGGGCACGGTTACCACAAGGGAGCGGGAAGGGGGGCAAATGAGGGGCACAGGGTTAAGAGGCACAAACTACCATGTGTCAAACAGATGAGCAACAGGACACATCGCACAGCAGGGAATCACAGCCACTATCTCACAGTAACTTCTGATGGCGTATAGTCGATAAAAATGCTGAGTGACTATAATAAAAAAAAATGTGGAGCGCTCTCTATAACCTCAAGAGCCCCCTCCCCAGCGTGGAGGGGGACTCGGAGCTTCAGGAGCACGGCCCTGCTCACACCCGGACGCCAGGCTTCTGGGCTCCGGAACTGGGAGCACAAACCTCTCTCGTCTCAGGCGCCCGCTTCATCATGGCGCCCCAGGAAGCACGCGTGCCCAGCGTGGCTCTGTGGGGGGCGAGCGTGTCTCCTTCAGGGCTGGTCTGCCGAGAAGGCGGAAGGCCCCCGGCCACACAGACAAAGCGTGCTGGATGAAACTCTGGTAAATTACCTTTATCGCCTGCTGCAGTTCCCACTCCGCCCCCCCACCCAGCACCCGTGTCCTGGGCTGCCCCCACCCCACCCCAGCCCTGCCCTCTCCCTGGGGAGCCCCACTTCTGTTCCAGCCACCACAGCAATGCAACAAGCCAGCCTGGACTTGGGGGCCCAGGACACTCCCCCCACGTTCATGGATCTGTGGGCAGGAGTCCCGATGGGCCCAGCAGGGACACTTGTCTCTGCTCCAGCGTCTGAGGCTCCAGCCGGGGTCCGACAGCCAAGGGCTTGCCATCACGTGAAGGCGGCTCCTGTCACACACCGGGGCCCTGGCAGGGAGGGCGCGGAGACCGGGACTGCCCACTCCAGTCCCCGTGCTACGTGGCCTTCGGTGGGGGCCGGAGGGTTGGGCTCCCTCACAACACGGGGGGGGACATCGACCGACCCCCGACTTGGCATCTTGGGGCTGCGAGATCCAAACAGTCACGAGGCCACCCGACCCACAGGGAAGGCAGACACCGCACCTCAGTGGCAGCAACGCTGGGTTTACAGCCACGTGCTTTACTTAACCCGCCGCAGCTTTCCTCCCCGCTCCGCTCCGGCTGCTGCCCGCCGTCCCTGAGTTCCAACTCGGCGTTCCTGACTTGGAGACCTCAAGCCCGTCTTTGCTGGTCAACCCTCACCCTCGAGGTTCCTCCCGTGGCGGCACGCACCCCCGTCAGCACACCCACGCGCTGTCGTCCAGCTGGAAGCACCGCATCCTGCCCGCTCTCCGCCCACTGCTGCACACGCAGTGCCTGGGACGCACCGGACATGTCACCTGTCACTGAAGGAGGGACAGGGCACGATGCAGTGAGACAGAACCGTGGAGCAGAGAGGGACCACCACGTTACAGAGACCAGGGAGGTTTCCACCCAGCCTTACTGGGCCCACCAGGTGGGGCGAGGCAGAGGGCAGGAAGGAGCGGGGTGCAGCTGGCCAGACCCCAAGGGACAGGTCAGCAGCAGGGGTGGAGGAGGCCCAGGGCCCTTCTCAGAGGCTTGGAGTGGGTGGGAGACAGGGGTGCCAGTGAGCGAGGTCTGAGACCTGGACTCTGGAGTCCAAGCTACAGATGGAGGCAAGCTGTCTGCCCTGGGAAGGGGAGCCGCAAACAGTCGAGGACCCCGGTGTCCCACATGGAGAATAAAGGGTCAAGAATGTTCACAAGCCACATTCACAATGGTCCAAGCCGGAAGCCAAGCCCACAGCACAGCAGACGCATGAGCTGCGGTGCACGCCCCCGAAGGGATGCTGGAGAGCGGGGAAGCGGAGAGAGCCCCGGGCATGTGCAGGGCCTGACGCCACACGTGGGAACTGAGTACCTCCCTGGGTGAGTGGCAGGATCCCGTGCACGCCAAGCCACGCCCAGCCAGACCACACCTGTGCTGCAGTCAGTGGGGACACGGTGCCCTCAGGGAAAAACGCGGTGCCCTGGGGGGGGGGAGCGTGGTGCCCTGGGGGGGTGTCCTGGGGTGGGGGGGAGCGTGGTGCCCTGGGGGAGGAGCGCCAAAAGGCCCAGGGGCTGCAGGCCAGTGGTGTTCCAGGTGCCACATGGTTGGGCTCCATTCGTGAGCAAAGCAAGGTCCTGTGTGCATCACTGTAAAGTCTGCAAACATCTCACCAGAGACAGAAGGAGGAAGCGGGAGGATGAAGCAGAAGCAGGGGAGGCCAGCTTTACTACTGCTGCTGCCGCTTTGCTGGTGACCGTCCCCTGAATTTCAAAACAGAAGAGAGGCCACACTGAGCTGGGGGAGGAGACCCACGGACAAGCAGTCAGCGGTGGGTGGCCATGGGAAGAGGGCAGCCAGGAGTCCGGCGGCCTCTCCCAGGTGCGACCGGACCCCAGCAAGGTCTCCCCGACCCTGGCACTCGGGGCGCGCACCGCTATCCACCAGCTGCTCCGGCGTCGGGCTGCTCTCCTGGAGAGAAGGCGCCCCAGGACAGGAGGGCCAGCCCAGGGGCACACGCGGGTCACTCTGCCAGGCAGAAGACGGCCACGACACCACAGCTCACATTTCCTTCCACGAGACCCGTCCCCTCCAGCCCTGAGCAGGCAGGCGTCGCGCTGCCGGTGTGCCAGGAGAAGCACAGCCAAGCCTGCAGGGCCTTTCCCAGCAGTCCCCTCCGGCTCCCGGCTCCGGCCCCTCGGGGCTGCACCCCAGACGCTCTCGGGCTCTCAGCCGGGGGTCCAACAGCCGCTGCCACGCTTAGGGAAACCACTCCGAGCGGCAGAAGCCACGCCACTGCTCCCTGAGCCTCCGGCCGGCGGCTGGGGAGGCTGGCACCTGATGGCGTTAGTGACAAGGGCTGTGTTTGGAGAAGTGTCTTCCGTCTGTAAGGGCTGCAACAGAGACGCCAGAAACGGCCTGGAAACAGTCCCGACACAAAAGCTCTGAGCAGAAGCCTGGGGCTCGGGAGAGAGCTGGCGCACACACACCGCCGCCTCTCCGAGAAAGGGGGAGTGTGTGTGTTCGGGGTCTCACTGGTTTTTGAAGCTGGTGGCTACCCCTCCTGCTCGCTGTCAGCGATGCTCTCTTCCCAGGGTGGGAGCCCACGCCCAGGGGCAGAGCCATCCCTGCAGACCAGGGGCCTGCATCTCCCCAGGGCCCGCTCTGCAGGCCTTCGGCACTGGGCATCGATTTTCAAAACCGTGTCCCCACCCTTCCCCAGTTTGCCAGAGAAAGCCAAGCCCTACTCCCTCGGTGGTCCTGTCCGTCAAGCGGGAGGGGATGTAAACATAACGGGGGTGGCCCTGCTTCCAGGGAGGCCCGAGGGATCCCACATGCGAAACCCAAGCCGCAACCTCCGGTTTCAAAGACCCGCCAGGGCTCCCCTTCCGCGGCTAGGGGGCCCTGCTCTGACCCAGTTTCCTGGCCCGAGCGGGCAGCCCCCCGGCCAAGGTGGGAGCCGGCTGGCCCACAGCACGGCCCCTCGGCTCCAGGCGCCAACCAGCCGTGCTCAGTCCTGGGTCCAGAGACACAGGGTGAGGGCACCACGGCCAGGCGCCGACGGGGGGAATAAAATGACACCAGGCAGCCTGCACACGCCGCTCAGCGCCTGAATGCTTACACGTCCAGGCGGCCACACGTAGGGCCAGGCGACAAAGCAGGTCGAGTACTGTTTAATCTGGGGGTGCCAACAGCTTTACATAAGATGCAGCTGAACACAGCATCACAGAGCACCCCACGTGGCCTCTGAGTGCTGTGCTGAGGGAAACTTGGGTTTCAGCGGTGTGTCCCTGTGCGCGCGTGCACGTGCGTGTGCATGCATGTGGGCCCACGTGCATACGCACACTCACGCCTCACGGTACAAAACGCACATCTTGCTGAGACACCCTCAGGGCTCCCCTATCAGTCAGGCTCCCCGACTGCCGTGAAGTTTTCATATTCTCCTGATACGTTTTTCAGCAGCATCAGACAAGCCTGAAACCGCTCTGAAGCTTGGCCTTTAAACAGGAAGCAATTCCACGTGCGTCCCAGGGCGAAGTCCGCCAAGATGGGCTATCTCGCTGGTCTCCCCCCCACCACAACCCCCGCCAGGAACCGCTGCTCTCACCCCGTCTGCGAGAGGCCAGCGGGGCTGCTCCGCATCCCTCGGCATGCTCTGCGCTCAAAAGGCCAACGCGCTGGACTCCCAGCTGCTTTGAAACAAGGCAGGTACAGCGCGGCTAAGAAAAGCGTGTCCGCCTCTCAAGGCAGACGACGTGCGTCTGCGCCTGATCTGAAGTTGTTTTTCCATTCTCCTTTGGACTTTTCCTCCATGATTTCCACGACAAGTGACGCCGCAGAAAAACCGGAGATACGCAGACAAGCACCGAGGACAAGACAGACAAGACAAAAGCCCCACGTTCGTGAGCCGAGGGGGCACCGTCCTGGGCGCTGTCCGCCCAACGCCCTGGGCAAACCACCGTACGTGCAGCTGTAGACGGGGCTCTTAGCACTTGATGGGACACGTTGATCCCCCATCAAATTAGTCTTATTTTACACCATTATTTTTAGAGACTGGCCGGCCTAACTGTGTCCCCTCATCTCTGACCATCTGTCAGTGGCTTTCAGCTGGCATCCGAGTTTTCTGTTTATCAGACCAGGAAACACCCTTTCTAATAAACGTTTCTTTGCATCCACGATTCTTCAGGACAGATTTCTAGACGTTGTGCTGCAATGGCCAAGGGTACAGATATCTTCAACATTTTTGAAAAGCCTCAACCAATGGCCACCCCCCCTGCCCCCCGGTGTGTGCGTTAGATGCAGTGTTTGGGAAACGCACCTTCCTGCAGCCGTCAGGCTTCAAGTCACGCTCCTGGGCTCACATCTTGGGCCCCAGCACCTCTTGGCTGAGTGACGCTGTCAATGAATTTCCTGTTCTGTCTGTTCTCAGCGTCCTCATCTGTGAAAGACAGCAGAACTGTCCCGATCGGACGGGGCTGTGGCCAGGACTCCGCGGGACAGGTGTGGAAGGCGTTCGCGGGTCATTGACAGTGAGGTCACCATGACACCGCCACGTCACTCTTTCCCATAACGGCCTCCCCGTCTCCATCCCTGCCTTTCCGATGCACACAGATCAGAGGTGCCAGAGTCGCCCCTAAGCACAGGCCTGATTGCACTTGTTACCGAGCAAACACCTGCACAATTAGGCAGAATGAAGAAAGCCAGACTCGAAGGCTGCACACTGTATGATTCCACTTATACAACGTTCTGGAAAAGTCTGTACGGACAGAAAACAGATCCGTGGGTGCCGAGGGTGGGGTGGGTGGGGGAAGGAGCTGACTCTAGACGGACAGGAGGAAATGTGCCGAGTCCTGGAAGCCTTCCACATCTTGATCTGGTGGTGGTTACACGGCTGTTCCCAAACTCGAAGAACAGGACATTAAACAGGGCGAATTTTGCTGAACACACACCCTGCCTCAGTAAATCTCATTTAAAAATAAACAACAACCCAGCAGAGAAGGAAGTCCAAGCCGGGGGCCGGGCGTCCCAGGCCTTGTCACCTGGCCAGCTGCCTTCCTTCCCGTTTCTCGCTCACTCCCAGGTCTGGCATTTACTGAACACCCTCCACACCTACAGGCCCAACCACGGCCCACACCAAACCCAAAGCCCCCCCCGAGGCCGGTGTTCCCCAGACACACCCCGTGTTCCGACTCCAGGCCACGCACCCTCCTCCACCTGCCCGAGAGCCACCTGAGCAGCTGTCAGAGTCACAGATCCACACCCTCCCTCCCACGCCAAGAGACCCCGACGTAACGAGGCGGGTGGGGGGACAGACACTGGGGTTTGGTTTTGCTTCATTCTTTTTTAAAGAACCCTAGGCTCAGAAATGAAAGAGGGGACACCACCCAAGTCCAGAGACGTTAAAGGGTAACCAAGGGATATTACACTCGACTCGACGCCAGCAACTGCGACGGCTCAGATGAGACGGGCAGATTCCTTGAGACACGCAAACCACCGGGACCGATGCAGGAAGAAACAGAAAGTCTTGGTAATCCCATGTCAATAAACTGAATTCATAAAGAAAAGCTCCGCCAGAAAGCAAATCCAAGATCGCTTCACCAATAAACGCCGTCCAGTGTTTCAGGTAGAAACAGTATCAATCCCACACAGACACTTAAAATAACAATAAATCAAGAGGGAACACTTCCCAAGTCATGTGTGGGGCCCGTGTTACCTGGATACAGACACCAGGCAGACGTATTACCAGGGTCCGCTCTCTCACGACACAGTTACAAACATCCTTAACGAAATCGTAGCAGACTGAATTCAGCAATACACACAAAAACAACACATCATGAGCACTGGGGGTTGTGCCAGGAATGCAAGGCAATGTAACATTCAATAATTAATCAACAAAGGAGAAAAACCATATGATCATCTCAACAGACACAGAAAACACATAAGACAAAATTCAACATCCATTCATGATAAAAAAAAAAACAACTCTGCAAACTTGAAAACTTCCTCAACCTCAAGAAAAGGCGTCTCCATCAAAGGGTCCCCTAACATCATATTTAATGAAAAAAGATTACGTTCTTTTCGCTAAGACTGGGAATAGGTGAGGATGTCCACTGCCACCTCTTCCGTTAAACGCTGCCCTCAACACCCTAGACAACGGAACAAAAGGAAAAAAGAAAGAAAAGGCATTTGAATTGTAAAGACAGGAGTAAAATGGTCCCTTGTTGTAACTGTCAGTATTATCTTTGTACAAAATCTTAAATGACTATAAAGAAGCTACTCAAACAAATAAGTCAATTTAGAAAGGGCACAGGATAAACAAACAATGCAAAAAAAATCAATTGTACTTCCAAACTGCAGCAATAAACAATTGGAAAATAAAACCTTTAAGAATCCATTTATAACATTCAAAACTACAAAACACATAATAAACACGATACAACGCGTGTGAGGCCTACACCGACGGCCACAAAGCCCCGCCGGGAGGGCTGCAGGAGGGCGAACACAGATGGATGGACAGTCCTTCACCACAGGCTGAGACTCAGCATCGCGACAGCGTCAGCACTCCCCACGCGGACCCGAGGGGCAAGCACAATCGCAGGCAAGACCCGAGCGGGCTTTTCCGCAGAACCTGGCAAGCGGATTTTAAATTTATACAGAAATGCAAAGGATCCAGACTAGACAATTCAAGTTTGAAAATGAAGCACGCTTGTCAAGCTCACAACCAGACTTCAGGAATCACGATAAAGCAAGAGTCCTGAGGACAGCGTGGTTTTAGGGTGGATGGTGAACAAGCCATAACGGACCAGAATTGAGTCCCGAGGCAAAGCCGCACAGAGAGTCTCAATTCCTTTTCAGACAGGGTGCCAATAATTCAATGGAGGAAGGATCCTTCCTTTGACAGCTGGTTCTGGAACAACTGGATATCCACACTCCAAACAATGTACCTCAATTGTCAGCTTTTTTCCAGTTACAAAGTAACTTGAAATGCATAAGAGACATAAAAGCTTAAAATCATAATGTTTCCCAAAGTAAACATAGAAGAAAAATCTCTATGACTATGGGCTAGGCAAAGATTTCTTACACAGGACACAAAGAGCACAATCTACTAAAAACAATACAGCTGGACTTAACACTAAAAATGTCTGCCCTTTGAGAGATACCACTCATGAAACAGAAAGGTGAGCTGCAGACCGAGAGACGTTTGTAATACAAATATCTGACCAAGAACTTGAATCCAGAACACGCAAAGAGCTCTCAGAATTCAGATATGAGGCAAACAGCCCAATCCAAAAGTCGGCAGAGGATGCGAATAAAAACTTAGACGAATACACACAAATAGCTGACAAATGCAGGAGAAGACACTCGGCCGGAGCGTCTATGACCCGGCAAGACAACACCCAGCAGCTAAAATTAAAAAGACTGATGACAGCAAGTGTTGGCAAGGATGTGAAATAACTGGGCTCCCACGTTAGCAGCAGGGATGCAACACGATACAGCCTCTTGGGAAAACAGTTTACCAGTTTCTTACAAAGTTAAAGACACACTTACCACACAACCCCACAATTTCAAGTAGTTATGAGAGAAATGGAAACGCGTCCACACTCGGATTTGCATACACATGAACGGAGCCTTTTTACAGTGGTAAATACACAGAGCATAACATTTACCATCTTAACCATTTCAAAGGGTCCAATTCAGTGACACTGAGCACGTCTGTGATGTCACGCAGTCATCCCCGCTCTCTAGCGTCAGAACTTCTTCAACGCCCCAGAAGGAAACCCCACGTACATTAAGCACTCTCCCTTCCCTCAGCCCTGGCAACCTCTGATCTGCTTTGTCTCTGGGGTTGCCTGTTCTGGACATTTCACATAAATGGAGTCGCATGATATGGGCACTTCACTGTCCACCTGCACTTAGCAGGATGTTTCCACGGGCCATCCAGGCTGCGGTGCGGGTCAGTATTCACTCCTTTTTTGGCTAAGTTATATTCCGTCGTCTGGATGGACCCCGGCTGTTTACTCGCTCATCCCCTGATGGGCTTTTGGGCTGCTTCCCAAGTTGTGAGCAGTGCTGCTAGGGACGGCCATGGATCAGCTTTTGTTTGATTATCTGCTTTCAATTCTCTTGGGTGTCTATCTATCCAGGAGCTGAACTGCCAGCTCGTATGACAACCCCCTACTTAACTTTATGAAGAATCTCTAAACTGTTTTCCAAAGCCGCTGCCCCATGTCACACTCCAGAGCAACATATGAAAGCTGCAGTTTTTCCACATGCTCACCAACATTTTCCATTTTTTTTGACAGAAGCCGGTCTGGCGGGCGGGAAGTGGCAGCTCAGCGTGGTCGGGATGCGCGCTCCGCTGGTGACTAACGGTGCTAAGCGTCCTTCCACGTGCTTATTTGCCATCTGTCTACCAGGTACGTGCACTCACGCTCTACCTGGTTGTTCTCCCTCCTGGGCTGAGCTGCAGCTCACAGCACTTTTCTTCCCAATAACCTCGAACAGGAAGTAATCCGAACACCCGCCAACAGGTGAATGGATCAACAAACAACAGCACACCCCCTCGACGAAACAGGACTCAGCAATAAGCAACATGAAGTACTGACACACGACGCCACCCGGGAGTCTCGGGAACGCTGCGCCAAGGGGAACAAGCCGGACGCAGAGTCTACAACGCATGCCTCCGCCCTGGACTCCTGAAGACACAGACCTCATCTATAACCATCGACTCTCGGCAGATCACTGGTGGCCGGGGTGGAGGGCTGAGAGCATCGCCCCGGACACCCTCGGCCGTGCCCAGAGGCTCCGCTGTCGCAAGCTTCCATGGCGGGGGGAGGGGACAGCTCAAGTGGCAGAGCGCACGCTTAGAACGCACGAGGTCCTGGGTTTAATCCCCAGCACGCCCTCTAAAAGTAAATAAAAATAAAACCTAATTACCTCTCCCCTCCAAAAATATTTAAAAAAAAAAGGTAAGCTTCCATAACCACTCTGATGTCTCAGCCCCTCTCCCTTGTCTGGGGACCACAGGGCCAAGCAGAGGGGGCGCACTTTACAGGCCAATGGAAGCTTTTGGGGGAATAGCTGGCCTCCCGTCTGCCCCCACCCCTTGCCCCGACTAAGGACTCCAGCAAGCGCCACCCCCAATGTCTTCATCACTCTTCCCTGTACTCCATCCTTCCCTGAAGACAGAAGCCGGACGTGCGAGCCTTCTCTCAGCCTCTCATGCCCACCAGCTCCTCCCCCATTTCTCAGCCCCCTCTTCACAGAATTCTCAAAACAGTGGCCACTCCTGCTGTGCTGAGCTCCCCGCTCCCCCCTCGCAAACTCCAGGCCCACCGCATCCCCAGCACCTCCCATTGGGACACCTGTGACCCCTGTGTTGCCAAGGTTAATGTCCAAGGTCAGCTCCCAGCCCTCACCTTACTGGACCCCGCGGCC